TTATAATAGCAAGACAACAGTGCTAACTGACTATACTCATAGACTATACTAGAGGTAAACAATGTCTTGTCACATTATGTCACGTGATACCATGGAAAGGAAATGTAGAGACTGTGATTTCATAAAGCATGAATGTGAACAAAATCTGTTATGTTTGATCTAAAAATAGAACCATATCCTGACCACAACTTTACCTTTTATTGTTCGCGTCTCTCACCCCACCTCCAAGATGATATTCATTTAATAACAAATAACGGAAATAAAGGAAATAACTGGTTTCGTTTTAGCGGATCTGAGGTTCCTGAAAAAAAATCACCGGGTTTTGAGTTAATCAGAAACAGTACGGTTGTTTAATTTTAATTTTCGCTGTTTTTTTGTTTGTTTGTTTTTTGCGCATATAATTGACAGCGAAACCCTTCGGATATTTGAACCCGATACACAATAATGTGGCCAACCCCTCATTGTAGTCATTGTCCAATCAGAAGACTGCTCTTATAACCTTCGGCCATGTTTTGCCTCGACTTCGTCGAGAATCAGATACGTAGCTCCTCTTTTCGTGGTGGTGGCACGTAAACGATTGTCTGAAATCGTTTATTATTCGGCAAAATTACGTGTAGCAATGCAGTTGCATTTATCATTGAACTGAAAACACGGACTAAGTTTATATGCATGTTTGTTAGCATAATGCAACGAATATGTTCACTGGATAATGGGTTCAATTATTAAAAAACATCTACTAGTAATTTCCATCATGGTTACCACTTTTTTAGTAACCGTATTGCTATGAACGAACGATGCATTAAAATAAACATCTACACACATTGTAATCATTTTTTTTAATTGTGGAGGTTCACGAAAATGAACACCAGTGCTCCTTCATACCCCCCTCCCCCGCACACACAAACACACAATTAGTAACGGTAGTTCTCTTTTTGGAGGATGTGGTGGCCCTGAAAAGGGCCATTTGGTTCGTGTATGCATAGCATACGATTTATTTTGAACTGGTGTACTTGGTGACGGCTTTGGTGCCTTCACTGACGGCGTGCTTGGCAAGCTCACCGGGCAACAAGAGACGGACAGCGGTCTGGATCTCTCTGCTTGTGATGGTCCTACGTTTGTTGTAGTGAGCCAAACGGGAAGCTTCTGATGCGATACGCTCGAAGATATCGTTGACGAAGCTGTTCATGATTGACATGGCTTTTGAAGAGACACCGGTGTCTGGGTGAACTTGCTTCAACACCTTGTAGATGTAGATACCGTAGGATTCCTTCCTTCCCCTCCTTCTCTTCTTCTTGTCACCACCACGAGCGGCGGCTTAGCCTTACCGCCTTTCTTTGCTGCTTTACCGCTTGTTTTGGGAGGCATGTTGAACTTTAATGTAATGCTCAGAATGACGTGAACAGTCAAAGGGCTCGATATTTATAGTGAGCGATATGTAAATGAAGGATTCTGCGCGTTTGCCAACAACCAGAACGAACGCAATAGAAAACACATTTTAAGCATACTTAAATATATTGCCTATCTAATGTCGACCTTATAAAACCCGTTACCAAGGTCATTGATCGTGATTGGTCGGTTATGATTCACTCTGATTTGATTGGTTGAAGCAACTAGCAGTCAGAATCCGGGCAATCCATATAAATAGCACGACCAAACCGCCATTACGGCATTGTTGACTTGTCTAGCAAAACTGGTAATTCAATATGTCTGGTCGTGGTAAAGGAGGCAAAGCAAAGGGAAAGTCCAAGACTCGGTCCAACCGTGCTGGTCTTCAGTTTCCAGTTGGTCGTGTACATCGTTTTCTGAGAAAGGGCAACTACGCAGAGCGTGTCGGTGCCGGTGCTCCAGTCTACTTGGCTGCCGTACTCGAGTACTTAGCCGCTGAAATCCTCGAATTGGCCGGTAACGCCGCCCGTGACAACAAGAAGTCGAGAATTATCCCCCGTCACTTGCAGTTGGCTGTTCGTAATGATGAGGAATTGAACAAACTGATGTCTGGTGTGACCATCGCACAAGGTGGTGTACTGCCTAACATCCAGGCTGTACTTCTGCCCAAGAAATCCCACGCCAAATCCAAGTAAATCGTATGCCTAGCGTACACAAATCAAACGGCCCTTTTTAGGGCCACCACATCCTCCAAAAAGAGAACTACCGTTACTAGTAAATGTTGTGTGTATATTGGGTTTTTGGCGGGAGTGTAAATAATATTAAAAATATAAATTAAAAAAATGGTAGTTACACACGATGTCAATTTATTTGTGTTCGTGAAAGACTAAATTCTATTCAATAATCGATGGACGGTTAACAAAAAAAAGCTCGTGATATAGGTCAACATGATGTTCTGATAATATTCTAGAAATAAACATCACGTTGGGATGAAGCTTTTTCTAATGTCTTTGGATAAGGTAATAATTGTATGGTGCGCTTAATTATATTAATAATCACCATAGAGGGCGCAGTAATTGACTATTAATATAAACTGGGGGAGGGGGTAACCTGTAACTGACCACCTCAACTCAAATTAGATGCTTTTGCAATTTTTCACGAATAATTGTTATATTTATTTAAATTCTGCTTTGAATGAATAAAACTTCTCGTGTATTTCTTGAAATATGAAAAACCCCATTGCGAATTTACAGTTTTTAATAATCGATACAAGTCGTTTTTTCATTACATATATTTGTGACGTCTCGTTCATGAAACGTTTCATACGATTCTCTCACACTCACACAACACAATGAAACATGGTAACGGTAGTTCTCTTTTTGGAGGATGTGGTGGCCCTGAAAAGGGCCGTTTGGTTTTGTTTGAGTTTATATCCATCTAACCACCAAAACCGTACAGAGTACGGCCCTGGCGTTTCAAGGCATAGACGACATCCATGGCGGTGACGGTCTTTCTCTTGGCGTGCTCGGTGTAGGTGACGGCATCACGGATGACGTTCTCCAAGAACACCTTCAACACACCACGGGTTTCTTCATAAATGAGACCAGAGATACGCTTCACACCACCACGACGTGCAAGACGACGGATAGCTGGCTTGGTGATACCTTGGATATTATCACGAAGAACTTTACGATGACGCTTGGCGCCTCCTTTTCCTAGACCTTTCCCTCCTTTACCACGACCAGACATGACTACAGTATTTGAATCAAATTCAAGCAATACCTTTGAGCAAACGGCTCGTCACATTTATACATTGGTTGCGAACGTGAGAGAGACCACATATTCAGCCTTGAAAATTAGAGTGCCGATGACGTAGGCATTTATTTAAATATCAAACAGTCTGATAGCGCATGTGCACAATCAATAGGTCGACAAACTTTCCAAAGGCCGCGCCATACACAGTTTATATGTGTATTTTCCCGCCTAATTTGGGGAACATATGCGAGTTTTTTTGTTTTTGTTTTTTTAAAATAATTGTATTATTTATATTAGTATTAGTATTAGGGTCTTACCCAAGATATGAAGTGAAAACAAAACATACAGATAAAAGTGACCATTTGAAGATCGTTTTTTTTTGTGTCATTTTACCAAAGTAAAACACCGTAATTTGTTGATAAAGACATGCAGCTAAAGGGAAATTTACATTTGAATCAAAATAGATGATAAATACACATGTACAGAAAAAAAAAACACGATCAAGTATTCTCTGTCATAATGTTGCCCCTTCTGCAAAAGGCGTGGCCGAAATGTCAGCAGTAGAAAATTGTGGCCGAAACTTGTCCCCTTCCTATCGCTGGGAAAAAAACTTTGCAGATTCGACTCTCGGGTGTGTTAATCTTTGGAACTGTGAATTGCAACTCAATGTAAAATTAGTAACAATGTAACAATACGACTGTAAGTGTGAATACGGTTACTAAAGCCGTGGTGTGAAGCGTTAGTGACGATTTACAAAGCGTCCATCGTCTGATAATAGAACTATTGCTACCGTCTCAAACCACTATAGAATATCGTAGTCTGAGCCACCGTTTCCCGCGCATTGTAAGCAAAACCTTTGTTCACACAGCGGGTATGTCTTAGCATAATACATATTCACTCTATAGAGGTATATGTGCATAATGAGAAGCATTTTTGTCTCAGCATAACAATACACCCACACATTTTTTTTTAATTCGATACGCTATCTGAATGGCATAATCATTTGCAAATTATATGCAAATTCATCTATACTGACCAGTGTACCAGTAGTCTCGTGGAAATCGAGTCCAGGATAACAATTGTCGCAATAAACATTCTAACGCACTCCCCGACGAAAATATCCCCGGTCAAAGTGCACAAGACAAACTCATTTTTGACGTATTGGCAGTAAAAAAGACCTGGCCGAAAAGTACGGAGTGGTTGAAACTTTAGTTCACCTAGTGTGGAATGATTCCAGAGAGTGCCACCCGCTGGGGATAAATTTGGCAACTCATGAAATAAGGTTTATTGATTGTAGAATATTTTACTTTACTTTAACTTCGACTATATTTGAGAATATACACTATTCCTTCTTGAATTGGCTAAATTAGTTGTAATGTCATGAATTTGTTTTTGCGTATCTGTTGACCGACTTAATTAGCTGATTATTAGCTGAATTGCTGTGTTATGTCTGTCATCGTTTAGGTCTATTTGAAGTTTTGGACGGAACTTGGCTCAGTGGTTTGGAACTAATTACAAGATACCGTCGCTATTCTGACATCTGTAGTTATTAATGTAGTGAACGATTAATCAAAAGATATGACGTATTCAGTACTTAGTTTGATTGGCTTTATGATTGAAGGTTACGCCCTAGAGTCTTTTACTGCTTTGTAATTGGTTAGAGTTGTGAAAATGAATAAAGAGAGTTTGAGTTGGTCTTGACGAGCACAGCACGATAGACGCAGAAGAGAGAGAGTGCAGTCCTGAGCAGTCGAGAGTCCAGTCCAGGGGCGAGCCTTGAGAGAGTCCAGTCTTGGGCGAGTCTTGGTTCAGCCTTGCGAGAGTCTTGGGGATTTTTTCCCCAGGGAGCTGTGTCTTATAGAGTGCTCGATTGACCGACTAAGACGAGAGCTGAAACGTATTTCGTTGTGTGTGTCTTATTTGACTGTAAAGTTAAAGTGACTTTCCTGACCCCGTACCTCAAGGGGACGAGATAGAGAGACGAGACGAGTTTCCCCCCTGACAAGTGTGAAGGACCCCGAGAGAAGGAGGATTTCCCCCTGATAGTAATAACATTCCAACTAAAAAAAAAAACATGATAATTGGGCGACTCGAACGATTAACTGTGGTTGTGGTCGGAGTAATTTAAACAGGAATTTTAATACTGGCAACAAGGTGTGAATTTAATAATTCCAGGGTGAGTTATTTTTTGGATGTGTGAATTACAGACCAACGTAAATTCACACCAACTAACTTGTAAATACGGTTATTAAAACCGCGTTTTGAGGCGTTAGTGACGACTCATTCACGGGAAGAGTTCCGGGATTCGGCATAAAGAGCCCATCGTCTGATCACAGAACTACTAAGTATTGACACCGTTTCCCGCGCATTGTAGGCAAAACCTTCATTTGTTCGCAGCGGCGTACGTCTTAGCATAATAAGGGGTACTAGTATTTGGAACTTTCCGCATAACAATACCCCCTCCCAACATTTTGCGAATTCGTACGCTATCTAAATAGCATATTCATATGCAAATAATATGCAAATTGATCTATACTGACCCCTGTACCAGTAGTCTCCTGTAAGAGGATCAGCAACTACATACGCTCTGGACAGACTGGAAATCGAGTCTAGGATATAAATTGTCGCAATAAAAAATCTAACGCACTCCCTGAAAAATATTCTCGGTGAAATTGCACCAGACAAACACATATGTATTTGACCTCTTAGCCCGTGCTAAGGAGCTGTGCGTGAACGCTACTAATAAAGTGTGAATTTAATAACTCCAGAGCGCGTTATTTTTTAGATGTGTGAATTGCAGGCCGGCGTAAATTCACATCAACCAACTTGGTGTGAATACGGTTACTAAAACCGTGGTGCGAAGCGTCAGTGTCGATTAAGTCATAGAAGGCCTCAATCCTATGATAATGGAATTATTGTCACTGTTTCCCGCGCATCGCAGGAAAAACGGCGGGGCGGGGTACGTCTTGTCACGTACGTCCATGGTCTTAGCCTAATAAGAGGTGTCTGAATCTATCAACATAACTATACACCCCATTGTATCATATTCATATGCATATTATATGCAAATTCATCTTTTCTGACCCGGGTATTAGATTACAGACATGTCTTGATAGTTTGGCATTGTATGCTAAAACGTGGAAGCTCTCTGTCAACACTGACAAAACCAAAATTTTAATTTTCAATAAATCAAACAGACGTTTGAATAATGATACATTTTTTCTTGGAGGTATCGAACTTGATACAGTTAAATCGTATAACTATCTGGGACTAGTCATTAGTGCCAATGGTAAATTTAAGGATGGCCTAAAAAACCTTAAACGTAAGGCTCAAAAAGCTCTGTTTTCAATGAAAGCAAAGCTTGGCTCAATACAAAACATAAGTATAAAAGTTTCAATTTCCCTTTTTGACAAACTCATCAGACCTATCCTCATTTATGGTTGTGATGTTTGGGGTGATGAGTTCTCCA